CAGATCTACACATAACAACCACCATATTATAGACTTTTCTTTCCTGCGGCGTCTAGAGTTTCTGCTGCTTCAGCCTGGGTCCTGTGTGTCAAATGTAGCCAGGTTCTCACTGGCAGAGGGGTGATCAAGACATGGGAAAGAGAAACAGGGATACTCATCAGCAGCTGCTTTTTCCTTTGAGATGCATCACCCCTAGGCACATTCATAATGAGATATCCATGTGCCCAAGCACATGTCCCACACACCTCTCACTTCCAGCTGACTGTACAGGGGTGCTGCACATCTAGCACATGGTAGAAGTTGATTCACTTTGCCTGTACTTCTTGAATTGAATTTTGCAGTACCATGAGCCCTGGAACTGAGAGGAATGCGCATGAACTGGTAATGTGTAAATGGACAATGTCTTTTGAATTACTGGCAAATAGCTCCTTTTAACTGACAGTAAGGCTGTGGATGTTTCCAAATAATTCCCTTATCTGAAGGAGGAGTTCTGAAATCAAGTAAAACAGATAGACTTGCTCTGCTGATGCCTGCCAAGTACCTCAATAGCAACATGTGCCTCTTGTTGCAAAAATGTGACTCCAAATGGCAGCTCCACAGATGATACAGAAAGCTTATGCTCCCGTAGATCATGTCTGATCGAGGCTGGTGGTTTCAGTTTTCTGTGCCAGAGTTTGCCAGGTGTCCTCCAGAAGCGAGATGAACAGAAGGACTCAGTGATCTTCAGTATGAAAAAACCTCTTTTTCTACCACAGTCCATCTCTTATTCCGTTAGAATACATCACATTATCTCCAGGGCAGCTGTTGTGAATGAGTTCACGAGTGACTGAGATATACAGAAGTCCTGGGTCCCAATGGAGAGCTGAGGAGTATCAGCCCAGCCTCTGAGCAGAAGTCCCACCAGAAGCAGGGTCATCTGGAGGGAGTGCAACAGTTCCCAGTTAGCTCAGTCCATAAGCAAGGCAGTGTAAGTGCTAAAAGTCAGGTAGGGCATGAGGGGGGCTCTGCACTTACCTGCAGCAATTAGCCACCCATTTAAAAAAATCTCAGAAGGCTCAACAGAAAGCAATTCTTACTGACAACTGCAAAATCACACAGGGCACATTTGATACATGTAGGCCTACAGTGTGGAGACAAGGAACTGTAAAGGAGACCACTCCTTTTGGCTGACCAACCTTTGACAAACACTTTTGGAGGAGATGAAATGTGCATTCCCTGGTGTGTGCTCCTCTGACTTGATGAAGGACAAATCACAGGGTTCTTCCACCCAATGTAGCAGGAGGCAAAAGACATAAATGGTGGATGGTAATGAACAAATCACTTTCCCTGAACGCTGAAGGAGGGGTTAATCCCCACCATAATGCCCAATTCATGGTTCAGAAACACAATTCTTGTGGAAAAAATAATCTGAGCTAAAAAAAGAAGTGGACTAAGAATGTCTGAAGCCTCACAAACGCAATGTTGAGAGGATGGATCTGCCTGACACACTGTATTACCATTTCCTGCCCCTCTGGTTGGGTTTTGGGCATCAAACAGTTAGCAGATTGTTCATTTCTTGGGAGATGTTTCTCCCCAGACAATAAAAATATGTCCTGTGGCATAGATAAAGGAATGTTTCCCTTGAGAAGTACATAGTTTGAAACTCAGTAGACCAGAGAGAAGCTTATGATGGAGAAAAGATATGAAGGATACAAGAGGAAATGGAGGTCAAAATGAATGCTATTTTTCCTTTGCTTTTCCTTGCAAACGAAATCCAGGAAAAAACAGGGTGCTGTGCATAACAGAAGTTGGGGAGAGAAAGCAAAGGTGAGATCCCTCCATTTGTGCATCCTATGCATGATATACACAGGAGGCAGGACACGGTTGTAGATATGCCCCTTGTATCTGAGCTAAAGATCTCCTGTTTGAGTGCACGGGCACACATCCTTAGCGTGAACATGGGGAACCACTTAAGGCAAAAAGCCATCTTGCAACAAATTTTTATGGAGCACTTGCTTTCATTTCATAATGAGCTAATGGCAAACTAGCAACATGACAAGGTGAGACGGGGAGGCAGCGCAGAGAAAAACTATGGGTTCACTAGCCTGTTCTGATCAAATCACAAAGCACAGCAAGAAATCCTCTGCTGCTTTCATAATAATGTACATAGGGGAGGAAGGAATATGGCTGAACAAGTAGTCGTGCCACTTACTGCTCACTTCATTTCAAGCCCACTACTGCAGCCTCTCCTGGGTGCTAATAGTAGGAATGAGGTCAGATATGACATTTCCAGATAAAGCATGTGAAGTATCTCAGTTTGTTTCTGTTGATATTTTCTTCACATCTACAGCTAAGCCGCTAAGAAGCAGTGATCAATCCGGTGAAGGGATGAGGAGAAAACATAATACCATGTTCTCTTCTTTTTTTTGGCCCCTTTAAGAAAGTGTCTTTCAATAGTCAGAAATACAACTTTCTTCCTGATGGAAAAATCTCTAGGAGAAAAGATGAATATGATGATTAATTGCTTCATGCATTTCTATACTACCTGTCACTGACCAATGGATGGGATATATTCTCTGCATAAGATAAGACCTGCTGAGGAGTTACTGGATAAGCTTCTATAGACTATGGTCTACAAAGGACTTTATGAGTAAAATAGTCCCTCTTGACCTCCTAAAATGCATTGTTAAAGTCATCATTCACCTCCACTGAAAGGACCATATACCATTTCCATTATCTACTTCAGAGGAATCTTTGGAGAAGAAATTATCTTACTAAATGACGAGAACTTTGACTCCTCACCCCAAACATACACACACACAAACACAAAGACACACAAAGAAAACAAAACGAAAAAGGAGTTAAAAGCTGGTGGCCACTCTGGCTTGTCACTCCTCCAAAGACTACAGCAGGTTTTTGTAACAAAGGGTAATACAGGGAGACAGACAGGGCAGTGCTTTTAGGACACAGAAGATGAGAGAATCTGGCAACTTGCATCTGCTTTAGTCATGTTTTGGGAACGTTCAGATTTGCTATAATTCTTTGCACAGGGAGGTTTTGGATTTCAAGACAGTATGTAATAAATAAGTACAAATGTTAAGGACAAACTTAAATTATACTAACAGAAATCAAGAAATTTGATATCTAATTTGTCCCCTTGCATACAACTCAGTTACTCTTCGTCTCTGCTGCTCTCAACTTTAAAAGTACAGCTTCAATTCCCTTCTAAACTGAAAACGCACTCCTCGTATAAGATCACAAAGGACTTAAAAAAAAAATTCGGTTTTTTTTATGACCTTTTCTGCAACTGCACATAATTGTTGATTACCGCACTAAAGTACTATGGGTATGGTAGCTGAGAAGGAAGAAAAGATTAGGTAGTAAAGAGAAAAACATCAATTAACAATGTGTGCTATGTTTCAGAAATGTTCTTCCACCTGGTTATCATTTGTCCTCAGCTGAGAAACAAAAGACAGCTTTATCATTATTATTATTATATTGTTATTATTGTTGTTGTTGTTGCTATTATTTATTACTGCTTTTGCCAAAAAGAAGCCTTACTTCATTGGGGAATGATTAAGCAACCAAACTCCCTCAGCCTGGGCAGGGTTAGCTTCACTTTCAACTTCTTCAGTCATCATTAGCTCTGAATAACGTCATGTCCCATTTGTGCAAAGCAAGCCTCACGAGCAGCCGTTGCAAGGGAACAGCTTGAAGAAACCAGACTGTAAAATCAAACTGTTTACTTTACACTGCCTCAGCATCACTTATCTTTCTTTTCAGATGGCAAATTCAGAGTGGCATTGCCCTCACACCAAAATCATAACCGAAAACTGCTTGGCGCAAGCTGAGAGCAGCTATTCGAAAGAAGATGTTATCATATTCATTGGAGAATGCTCAGTCATAAAGATTTTGCTGCTCAGTTGCTGACAGCCTGAGAACACTCAGCAGCAGCATGTCTCAAACTGGGATCAGCTTCCTGAGAGGGGCTGGAGTCCTGCTAGAAGCACCAAACAACAAGCCAGAGGCAATCAAACACAGCTGGCCTAGGCTTGCTCTGGTTAAGGCTTGACAAGACTACAGGTCTTGTGCTAAATACTGTGCCATGTATCTCTTTTTTGCTGATCTTAAGGAAGAATGAAGATATCCTTAGGCTTAGACACAAAATGCACATGCCTAACTTAATCCAGTTAAGTAAAGTAGTTTTGGTAGTCTTCAATGAGAACTGTTCACCCCCCCTCTGCACGGGCCACTGACCCACTTGACAGCCGTCAGTTTTATCCTGTGTATCTCACCTGTGAATAACAGCACAAGAAGATGCCCCCCTGCCCCCTTATTTGTAAAACGGTATCTCCTTCAATCAGTTCTGCTACAATTTACAAGAACAATGAAGATGCACAGGAAGGACATGTTGTCCTGAACTCAAACTTAGCATGTAAGTACCTGATAAAATAAGACACTTCTCAATATTTTTGTAAAATGCTATTATTTATAATTCATTTTTAATTCCAACACAAACCATAATTTTCACTTTTTTTTTTTTTTATTCCCCTGAATTATAACAAGGGAGGAGAAAGATCATTAACAGTGTAAGAAGATAGTGATCTTGGCTTTTTTTCTTTTATTTTATTCCTTTCCTGAGGATAAAAAAATTAATATGCTGAATACTGACACTTGATGTGCATTCCACAGAAACTGTTACTTACCTCTCTTCTATCGACTACTAAGCTGGCTGGTATACTAGGAATTTGCTGCACACTATTCCCCAAATCCGCACTCACGTTTATAGTGAAGCAAACCCATTGATACCATCCTTCTCCCTTGTTTTGATTTGGTTCAAAATAAGCGTTTTGTTATTCCTGCCCTTTCCCTGAGCTCCTGCCCTCATCTTGCCAAGCCCAAAACTCACAGCTTGCTTTGGCTTCAGTAGAGCTGCAAAGGCTTTGCGATGTCTGTATAAAAACAAACATGATTTGCTCATTAAAGCTAAGGTTTTGGGGATGTGCCCCCCGTACACTGACCTCCACCAATGGCTTTGGTTTGCGCTCCACTGCAAATCTGAAGTGGCAGAGTTCACAGTAGCTGGTGTTTGAAGACGACAGCCAGTGCTCCAGGCAGCTGCGGTGAATAGTCCCCAGGGTCCCTGTACATTCGCAGGGGGAAAGCAGGTCTTCCTGACTGCTGCCTTCATGGCAGATCCTGCACATTGGACGGTCATTAAAGGGTCTGCTGGTGGAGGAGAGAAAATTGCTGGTCATTATACAGGCATGTGATCTAGCCTCTCTTTCTCTCTGTACGTCACAAATTAACAATGTGGGAAACATTTCCAGCTTGTGTACTCTGCAGTTAGTATATCAAGCTGCTCGGCTAACGGATGCAAGCACTTTGGTATTTGTTTAAAATATCTCTTCTGTGGGGGGAAATAAACGGAGAGTGAAAAACACATTAGAGTGGCAGATGAGCAACAGAAGACCAAGTGTTTCTGTACCTTTGTATTTCTCATCTCTTCACAGTGCATCAGAACAGCCACTTCAAGAAATCTCTAAATGCATCAGGGAAATTTTAAACCTGCCTCAGCTGGACACTTCTTATGCTAGTGATGATCTGTGCCGTCACTCCTGACCTACAGGGTACCATCTCTTATGCCACTGATGATTCCCTGACCTACAGGGTAAGCTGTTTTCAGTGATCAACAGCGAGATACTACTGGACCTGAAACAACAGCACCTCACCCTGCAGCAGTGTGAAGGCCTGGCCGCAACTTCAGGCAGGCATGTATAGGCAGGAAGCTTCCTGTCCCTAAGGAGGGTTTCCCTCTCTTTGTGACAACACCCCACAAGCAGCTCAAGGAGTGAGATTAATGGCACCGAAAAGAAGGACCGTGCCAAACTCATCCCTCCCATGTTGCTGTCTGTGGCTATTTCTCCTGCATTGCCTCCCTCAAAGCACCCACCTTCCTGGTGGCAAGTGTGCTCCTCCTGCCAGTGAAAACCTAAAGACTCTGATTTTAACTATTGAGATTCTCTATTTTACAGAGGAATCTTTTGGGAAAGAGGATGGCAGTCGTGTGGCTTCCCAGGGTGCTTGGGCTTAGCACAGAGGGAGGAAAGCAGAGGCAGG